ATACCAGTATAAATATCTGCCAGTTGATACTGTGAATACCAGTATAAATGTCTGCCAGTTGATACTGTGAATACCAGTATAAATGTCTGCCAGTTGATACTGTGAATACCAGTATAAATGTCTGCCAGTTGATAGTGTTAATACTAGTATAAATGTCTGCCAGTTGATGCTGTGAATACCAGTATAAATGTCTGCCAGTTGATACTGTGAATACCAGTATAAATTTCTGCCAGTTGATGCTGTGAATACCAGTATAAATGTCTGCCAGTTGATAATGTGAATACCAGTATAAATGTCTGCCAGTTGATGTTGTGAATACCAGTATAAATGTCTGCCAGTTGATGTTGTGAATACCAGTATAAATGTGTTCTGCTAGAAATAAGTAGAAAATTTCGACTAATCTCAAACTACCTTTTTATTCACCTTATCGTAAATCAAACACACTAGGGAAAGTTGAATGGCTAAGGGTTTTGGATCATTTTCGTCGACTGAACCTCGTTATTTTATGTGTGTGTGTGTGTATGTGTTTCTATTGGCTTTGAATATCCCTAGTTCTGTTTCGTCTAGCTGTGAGACTTAAAATAAATTCATACGTCCAGGAGGAACCAATCACATTTCAGCTTACTTATGCAGAACTGTATAATATGTGAAGTTTATTTTTATGTTTTACCGTAGCTGCAGTATACTGTTGAATGGTAAGGAATTTGTCGTGAACCAAGTAGATGTATATACATGTCGTCCGTGGCTCCACTGATCATATCTGTTGGCCACAACACTGGTACAAAACATTCTTATTAAGTGTTATTATCTTTCTGTATATCTTAAATAAAATAAGACAAGTATATATTTTTTCCTAAGTAATAATCCTTTTTTTCCATTCAAACATCCCAGTAAGTATGTTGTTATGATTGTTATTATTAGGGGAAAAGAGAATTTCAGAGCCATCGAGAAACAAATACTTGATGATATTATGGGATCTGGACGATATGACAGCCGAATCCGACCGCATGGAATCAACCACACAGGTAAGGATCTAGGTTTCCACAGCTTTGTAAGCCAGTTTTTAAGTAATGAAATATTTAAAAAATACAGTGTCTGTTTATTACTTTAATGAAAGATGGAAATTGCGATACTAACGTGAAGAGTAAACAACGCACGAGGTTAAAAAGTCTGACGTCACAAACTTCAATCGAATAAATCTAATATTTTATATTAATAAAAAACGAATAATTATATTTCAAGCAGATTAAAAATTAATTAACAAAAGTAAAGAAAATGTTATATTTTAAGGTAATATAAATGAGATTATCAACCATTTTCTGCCATAGCGTCCCCAGGACACAAACAAAGAAACTCTGCCATTGTAGTAGTAGTGGTGATGTGCTTGTTCATACCAAGTGTTGGTGTTTACTACAGAAGTAAAAGAAATGCCATTTCTACACCATTATTTACTTGTTTACCCTAACTATAATAATGTTTATAGAATCAGCATCGGCATACAAGCTACTTTGTTTATTCATTCATTTTTTGTTGGTATTTAACTTATACAATGACTTTGAGGTCGAAAAATACACTTTATCACAACCAAACCAAAGGTAACCGAATAAATCTCATTGAAATACTAATGATATTAAGAATGTTTCATTATAAAATATACTTTATCAAAACCAAAGGTAACTGAATAAATCCCGTTGAAATGCTAATAATATTAAGAACGTTTTATTCTAAAATATACTTTATCACAACCAAACCAAAGGTCACTCAATAAATCTCATTGAAATGTTAATAATATTAAGAATGTTTTATTTTAAGATATACTTTATCACAACCAAACCAAAGGTATAATATTAAGAATGTTTTATTTTAAAATATACTTTATCACAACCAAACCAAAGGTATAATATTAAGAACGTTTTATTTTAAAATGTACTTTATCACAACCAAACCAAAAGTAACTGAATAAATCTCATTGAAATGCTAATAATATTAAGAACGTTTTATTCTAAAAACGTTCGCTATTGAACTCAATTTTAGATATTGTTATTGATATACCAAATTATAAGAAAATAATCTTTGTTAAATTATGCTCAACTGGCCAAATAGTGATTTTGGCGGGGAAATTCCAGGAAATGGTATACACTGTAATCACAAACAACTGAAATAACAACATGAACATTCGTCTGGTAATATCGTAACGTGTAATAGTTAAATCTTTTGTTTTAAGTTACATTAACTTCTCATTTTTATATAATTGAACTGACACTAATCATTTAAGGTAAAACACAGAAATAAGGAACGAGGTTGTGCGTGACCGCTGTTGCTCTTGTAACCAATGTAAGAGACATTAATATGTTTCTAAAATCAAAAACTAAGCTAATTTTCATCGTACACTAATACAATTTCCACGAAATTTAACAAAGGTATATATGAGTTATTTGATTTTACTGTTAATGTTTCAGAATAATTTCTATCGCCGACGAATTAGAGTTCAATGTTGGTTTAAGTTTCTTCATCGCTAATCTTTTTATTTCATTTCTTTATTCTTGCATTTTGTTCGAACAAGATTTAAGCATAAAAGAGACTAAGGCGATAAAAAAAGTAAAATCAACACTGAACACGGTAAACATTAGAGTTAAGATACTCCAGAGTTTAAGAAAAAACAGCATAAAAACGGAATGGTTGTAAATTTGCAAACTGAACACCGATTCTACGTTTTAGCTTTCATAGGAAAATACAAAAAGAAAAGTCCTACGTATAAGAACGAAAATGGTCAATTCACGTTTCACTTTTTTTTTTGCGTTTCATGCCAGCATAAGCACAAAGACTTTCTAAATTAAAAATGAACCGAGCTTTTTATGAGTTAGTTGCTTCTTGGGGATACTACATGTTTATTTACTGTCCTTAGAGTTAAATCTTTTACTCTCTGAGGATACTTAGATGTTTATATGGGTTCCTCAGAGTTAACTCTTTTACTCTCTGGGGATATTGCATGATTATTTGCTGCACTTAGACCCCCTAGTGGCACAGCGGTAAGTCTGTGGACTTATAACGTTAGAAAACGGGTTTCGATACTCGTGGTGGGGACAGCACAGATAGCTCACTCTGTAGCTTTGTAGTTAACTACAAAAAAAAAACATCACAAATCCACACTTAGAGTTAACTCTTATACTTTCTGAGCATATTACATGTTTATATGCTATCCTTAGAGTTAACTCTTTTACTCTCTGAGTATATTACATGCTCCCATTAAAGATAGCCTTTTTAACTCTCTGAGATTATTACATGTTTATATGTTATCCTTAGAGTTAACTCTTTTGCTCTTTTGAACGCTTGAAATTTAAAAGCAACAATATTGTATCTTTATATTTCTTAGTTATCACTTGACAAAACATTTTACACTTACTGTCATACCGACATTTTCTTTAAAGACATACACACAAACAACGATTCGATGTAACCTACACAGCAAGTTCCCACTTATTAAACTAATCCAATACAGTGATTCTAAATGTGAAAGACATAAAATGATTTTTGTTGAGATATATTATTTATCATCTTATAATTATTATGTTTTGATAAAGAAAGCAATCTTTGAAACTATTGGTCTGTTATCTGTCAGAATATGTTTAAATTTTATCGCATTAAGAAGAACCTGCGGGGGGGGAGCAATCGTTTACAACATATCACATCAAAACTACAGAGTGGCCATTGAGATACACAAGTTTACAACATATCACATCAAAACTACAGAGTGGCCATTGAGATACACAAGTTTACAACATATCACATCAACTGCAGGGTAGCTATCGAGATATACAAGTTTACAACATATCACATCAAACTACAGAGTGGCTATCGAGATACACAAGTTTACAACATATCACATCAAAACTGCAGGGTAGCTATCGAAATATACAAGTTTACAACATATCACATCAAAACTACAGGATAGCTATCGAGATACACAAGTTTACAACATATCACATCAAACTACAGGGTAGCTATCGAGATACACAAGTTTACAACATATCACATCAAAACTGCAGAGTAGCTATCGAGATATACAAGTTTACAACATATCTCATCAAAACTACAGGATAGCTATCGAGATACATACGTTTACAACATATCATGTCGAAATAGGTGTTGGTTATCGAGATAAAGAAATATCCTACATATATTGCAAAAAATAATAACTACTGAGCAGTTATTGAGATAATCATGTTTTCAGTATATCACGTCCAAAAACTACGGTGTAGATAAAGTGATACGCAAGGTTATAAGTATACCATGCTAAAGCTCAGGTAATAGAAAAATTGATGGGCCAAAATTCAAAATCCACTAAAATTAAACAGACACTGCAGTAAAAGTAAAACTGTAACAGATTTGGCGTTTATCATTTGTAGCTCAAAATTCTCATATATTTCCTGAACACAAATCTATAAAAGGAGTTTGTTTTTTATGATATCTTCAACATAACAAGTTATGTTCACATGGAAACCATTTAAAATGTATCGAAATCCAAACAATATGCTCAGATTTCATTCAAAAGAGACCAAAACTATTTGAGAAGCTGTCAGAAACAATTGTGGCTATTCAGAAAGCCCTCTTCAGGTGGTGAAAATTAGGGATTGCATATAAGTCAGACTTAATCTACTCATACTCATACAAATCAGGAACAGTCTGCAATGTTCAGTGACTAGTCTGTGTTTTTTAACTTTATTTTTAGCCAAACAAATTTTCCGTAAATTTAATCGATTGTAAATACACCTAAAAAAAGTGAAATATATCAATTTCTACCATGATCAACATACCCAAGTCACGTCTGGCTATTTATCGCTAAAATCAAAACATATATTAAATTTTCTAATACGACGTAAAAATACATAATACAAATGAATGCTATAATTATTTTTCATAGAAATTAAATATGCTAAGGATGTTTCTATTCACATAGTTGTCAACTGGTCTTAATGAGACCTACTCAGGCGGGGCGGTTGGGCGGCAATATTTCTCGAAGAAGTACACCATTCCTCCGGGCACGAAGGGCTGGTTCATAGTCCTACCTTGTTATCCAGATAAATCAATGGCAACAGGCCGTTATATATGGAGCGTCTCAAACACGCACAAACCTTATAAGTGAGGAGAAAAAGACAACTGGAGAAAAATTATTCTGTTTTCGGAAACCTATTAGTCTGTCCAGATTACTCAACCGCACCTGCGCCACAGAAAACTACGTCAAATCTCAATTTAGTGGTTTTTGGTATCCCTTTTTTTTCTTCTCTCTCTCTCTCTTGTTACGTGTTTACCTTACTAGACAGGCATTTTATTTCACTTGTATCAACTCATTCTATTAGAAAATTGCTTTTTCAACATTTACACCAGTTCACAATGAAATGTGAATTTTGTGCATGTCAAAACTGGCATCCCAAAGGATCCTAAAAGGTTTTTTTACAGTTTCTAATCTAGTGCTTTTTTGGCGCGAACTCTCAGTGTTCTCATTCAAATGATTGAATATCGAATTCATGTAATCAAATCTCTATTTTGTCTCTTTATCATTGCTCGTTGTTTTTAATAATAGCATAGCCAATTTTGTTAGAAGGGACTTGAACCAGTTTTGAGGTTTCAATTCACTTTAGAGTAAGCTTAAACGCTACCACTGTTTGAAGATCCAACACTACTTGCTTAAAGAAATCCGAACTAATGTCCATCAACAATAGATCTTCTCTGGCAGATGCATCACCCTGATTGAATTTTGTGTTCCATAAGATTAAATGGTTGCTTGCAAAAATACTGTATATGATAGATATCTTTTGGGCTTTCAACTAATTGACTATTTCAAAAATATATTTATTGTGTATTATACTCGGAATCCACTCAGCTGTTTGAAACACGACAATTCTTTAGAAATATTATAAATGATGTTATATTAATTTGTTATCGTAGCTCGCAGTCAAAGTGCATCAAATATTGCACAAAACATCGACTACACTTTAATAAATACTCAAAATAACTTTAAACTATA